CCCTTCTTAAACTTTGTTGGGCTGCGTAAGAAGCTTCTAATGATATAATATTTTTATCAATTAACAAAGTAGTTTCAGCGTAATTCAAAGCAACTTTTGTTCTGTTCACTTTTTGTCTAATCTTAACCCAATTTAAGAAAAACGCGTTTGAAAATTCAAGTTTTGTTCGTTTTGTCCGGATAATTTAAATCAGCACTGTAGCAGTCGTTTTCCGCTGCCAATTTGTTCAGCACATAGAAAGAGAAGCTGTTTATTTTCAAAAATTAGTTGAACGTGTTTTAAGCAAATCAGGCAGCAAAAAGCAACAGAATTACCAAATCGGTTAGCTTTGCCAACAATGATACTCAATTCTGGCGACAGATATTTGATAAAGCTTTATGCAAATAACTTGTTTGCTCAAATCACCGCAAACGTTAATTCAATGTTAGTTTTGATCAATAAGTAAGAGACGGTTAGCAAATAAATTACAAATAGCTGAATCCGGTTAAATTCTTTCTAGCTCAAATTATTCCAGTCTATTTTTCAGAAGGTACGGTACGAATAATCTCAAAATCCATAAAATTCATATTTTTTCCTTTTTTTTATTCGAAAGTTGAAACTGAAAAAAAATCTATTACTTCAAAAAACCATCGCCATGATTTAACTGGTTCTTTAAACCAAGAACTTGACTTCTGCTTATATAACCCTCAGAGGCGGATCTAGGATTTTCTCGAGGCGGGGGGTCTTATTTTCAAAAAAAATTCGAAAATTTTGACGATCTTTTTTTTTAGGTCGACCAAATTGATTTTTCGAGCTCTCCCAAAGCACTGTTTTGCCCCTATTTTGGCTAAAATTTCTGCGCCGCCGGCAAATTTTTGAAAAAACAGTCAAAAAATCACTTTTGGGCACTTTTTAAAAAATTTTGACAAAAAAATCGCGGTTTTTTTTGGCGCGCGCTCCCCCTCAAAGTTAGTATATATTGGCGCCAAAGGCGCTTCTAGAAAAATTTTAGGGTCGGTCGGCCCAAAATGGATTTCTGAAAAATTATCAAAGGGGGGACCCTTTGGGTCGGCAGGGGGTCGAATCCCTGAGAGGGGGGGCGTACGCCCCATTCCCCCAGCCTCCCCCCTAAATCCGCCCCTGATAACCCTATTTGCTGAAAATGGAGTTTTTAATTATCTTTTTCATACTTTGAAAGGAAGTTTTTGAAATTTGAATACAAATTTTTTATTGAGTCGGTTTTTTAATGTCAGTTCGGTTCGGTTTCATAAGTTTTTGCTTTGGTTATTGATTCAATTTCTGAAAAAGTTCAAATACTTAAACTGTTTTTCAGAACAAGATAAACAACGAGATGAACAATTGGTACAATTGCACACCTAAAACTGGTATGTCCCGATCGTGTGGATTAAAAAGAATCCGGTTTGACCCGTGGGGTCTTTGGGCGGAGTATAAAGACCTGCAAATTTTGTTCAGACTATCCTGATTACATTCAAATTTTGTTCTTTGTTCAGGCACTTTCTTTACCAGGACTTCAAATCGTTGGGACTGTGTATTTTTGATCCCAATCTTGATTGATTGGGACTATAGAATTCAAAGCATAAAACTGCCTCCTCGACCCGCGAGATTAATCTAATGGTTCGTTTCTTCGGTTTGCTTCGAATCGGTTCACTTAACCACCGAGCCCTGGTATCGAGATATTATGATGCTGTTTGCAAATTTCAAAAAAAATTAACGTACATTTGTGTTTTTTGATCTAGTAACACAATTTTAATGGAGAAAATTGTACATGGATCAAAATGACTTTTCTTATCACCTTTGAATCTTTTTACAACTCCGACCTTGGAGGCTTCCATATTGATTGTTACAAAAATGAAATAAATTCAACAAATAAACAATCGGATGAAAAATGAAGAATTTGTGACTACGTTATCAAGACTTTAAGAAATTGTTATCAAGATTCCAGATGACCGAAGCAAAACCGATAACAATCCCTCCTGTTGAAATCGAAAAACTGGCTAAAAAAAAAGATTGCCCTTTAGAAGGTAGCATAAAACAAGATTGTATGAAGAAATGTGACTATCGAGGACTTGTTGTTTGCCTAAATTACTTAGGTTTATCAAGTAGACCCGACATTTGCCTTGCAGCAAACCCTCTAAGTTCTTTTGAAAAAAAACCCAGGTGAAAAACATTGGAACGCAGGAAAAATTGTCTACGATATCTGCCAGGAACAAAAAAATTTACCTTTAGTGTATAGAAGGGATAAGGCGTTGATTCTTTTGGCTATTCGGATGCTGACTGGGCTAGAACTATAGACAAAAGAAGAGGTACCTCAAGATATTGTTTCAAGCTCAGTGATAACTCAGGTGTAAAAACTTGGTATAGCAGACTCCAGCGTTGTGTATCAACTTCAACAGCAGAAGCAGAACGCAATGCTGTGGTTGAAACAGTAAAGGAAAGAATTCATTTAGAGGCTATACTTGGCGACTTAGGCATAATATCTAATAGGCCTTTGGGAGTGTTCATTGACAACCAAACTTAAATTGTTCATAGTAAAAACTTCACTTTCTTCGGGATTTAGTTCAACAGAAGAAGGTGTCATAACAATTTTACCAACAGCAAACATGCCTGCAGATGCTTTGACGAACAACTTGGGAAATTTAAAAACTGCAAAATTACGAGACTTTCTACTAGGAACCACCTAGTTTGAAAGGCGGGGTATTGGTGATTTTTTGTAACTGAACGGAAATTTATCTTTCTTAAACCTAAAGATCACTTCCCGATTCTTGTTAAGATTAGTTGGTGAAACTACTGGAACTATCACTCAATTTTCATTAGTTCACACCTCATTAATCAGTCTTTTGTCGCTGCAATAACCTCGATATTAAAAACAGAAAGCAAAATTGATAGATTATTGTTTGGTTCAACTTTATTTGGACAATGATGAAATAAGTTGTGATAAATCATCAATTTTCTTCAAAAGCACTATAGCTTGCAAGTTTCTGTTATGTCTTCTCAAAAAATTTAAGGCCAACAAAGTTTTACAAACTTCTTTAAAATGATTTAATCAATTTTACAAAGAAAAAAACTTTTCCATAACTGGTGCAAGAAAAATTGCCAATAAAAAATTTCAGACATAGAAAACTTAGGTCAAAACAAACAGAGTTTTATTTTAAAAGCTCATGTAAAAAAAACAAATATGTTGCCCGCGCCTTCCTAGATTCAAATTAATTCGGCACATTTGGCTCTCAAAGAGCCCTCTGTTTTAAATTTTATTTATCCATTTTTGGTCCGGACATCTTAAATTTGTTAGTACCAAAATATCAAAGTTCTGAACGTGGGATATCTTAAAACTTTATCAAAACCATAAAAAATGAGCAAAAAAGTGCAGCTCAACCAAAAATTTTAGTTTAAAACTCTAAATTAGAGTAGAAAATTTTTTGAAGAAAATTTCACAGATGGAAAAATTACATCTGGCATAAGAACTCCTCCTTGCAAGCCAGTTTGAATAAAGATTAATTTCATATACTTTCTAGATAGTTATGAATAAATCTCGCTATATTTACAGTTTTCAAAAAAAACAATAAGTTATAGATTAGTTACGAAATACGCCAACAACAAGATTAGAAGTTTGCTGTGAAAGTATCACAGAAAAATTGGACATTAATATAAAAAACTAAAAAACACAAGTTCGTTTTTTTTCTAATTTTGTTCCTGTTGCGATAAGAAGAATTGAATGGGAGTCTTGAACTTAGACCTAAGTGATGGACACAGTAATTAAGGCAATTTCGAAAAAAGTTTTCATCGAAAAAAAAATCAACAAAAATCAGAAAAACTTTCAAAACTTTTTCACAAACTTTTCAAACTTTTCGCAGAAAATTGTTTTGACTTAATCAGGTGTTCAAATCATCTGAAAAACGATACGATTTTAAAAAAAATAGTCGAGTAGACAGACACTTGTTGCTTTTTATTACCTTTGGTTTGATAGCTCAACAAAAAGGCGCTGCAAAAATCATTCCGTGCAATATTTTGCTTTTTTCTCCTCGCTCAAGATATGCGACCAAAACGAATGCTGTTCATTATACAAAAAATCAGTTGTTTTGGTTCAGCATAATAATAATATTAATAGGAGAAAAATAATGAACAATACCGCACATATGCACACACGAGATGTTTTTGGGTCTTTCTCATTATGGCTCCCAGTCTAGTATACAAAATCATAGCCCCCATAACTGTAGTTTTAGTATTATGGGAGCAATATTTTGCTCCATGAGCTATGGAAAATACCCATATAATGATCCTAGAAAGGTGAGAAAGCGCTCTGTTCTTAATAGCGCAAAAATCGGCAGCAATATTGAAAAATTCTCAACAAATAACTTTTAATTTTAATGTTCTATAAGATTTACCTGCAGCTCAGACGCGTCTGTACAAAATGGCTCTTGTTGGCATTTTAGAAAAACCTATCGAAGAATTTGTTCGCTTGAAGCATTGGTTTTTAACGTTTCAATTTTGAAAAACAAATTGACGCGGTTCTTAGAAGACATTTTGCTTATATCTTCAAAAAGTGAAAGAAAAGTGAAATGAAGCTTTTAAAACAATTGAAATTATTAACAATTGAGAAACAAAAAGAAAAATAGCGCTAAATACATTTATTTTCTGAAGGTTTGAAGAGGTGACACCAAGTTGAGCGCGTGGTTTTAGGATGGCTGGGCAGTTTTCGTATATATATTTTCGTTTTTGTTGTTTTTGCGTGAAAACAGGTCCACTTCAATTTATTTTCTGTGGAGTTGCAACTTCTGAAGACACAGATGTTTTTGATGATTTTATTTCGTAGTTCAAACATTGGCTGAAGCAGTTAGAACTCGTATAGATGCCCTTTTACGCCCAATTTCAGTTCGAGCTTTCGCGATCAATTTTAGGCAAAATTTGGAAGCTTTTCATGGATTTGGAGCTGTTTATATTAATCAATAAGATGCTCTTAAATGTGCGATAAAAGTTAAAAATGGGTCCGTTTTGTGGACTAGCTTGGCTGTGGCGTCTGGGCTTCTCGTGGAACCGGGAGCACTACATCATGAAGCACTTGAGACTCATGGGCAAACTGGGTGAGGACCAGATGCGACACCACAAGAAGATCACCAAAAAACTCATGAGGCATGTCATTATTCTCTCTTTTTTTCATTTCTTTGATTCAAAACAAAATTTGAGAGGGAACGCGCGCCAGGTTTTGGTCATAAACTTCCAAAAAGTTCCCGTAAACGGTCTTTTTCGTCCTGTTTGTTTTCTTTTCGAAAAATTTTCCTGAAATCAGTATGAGGCCGTTATTTGGTTTCAAGAGAGCTCGAAAAAATAATTTGGTCGACAAAAAAGTCCTAGATCTACTTTTGATTTTAACCATAAGCCAACATGTCTGTTATTATTCATCATTTCTATCATAACGAACAATTTAACTTATTAAGTTGAGTATTATGAACAAGCAAAATATTTCAGACTGATTTGAACTAAAATTTTGTTCTAGCCTCAGGAGAGGTTTGGGTCTAAAAAGATCAAAAATGGACTGATGTTTCTTGCAGAAAAACTCCGTTTTAATTTCTTGGAAAAACTCTCGCTTACAAAACAGTTGCCACTCAAAATCTGAGCTGCTACCCAAACATGTATTACGATCAGCTTATGAATCTGGCACGCGTATATACAACTTTTCGAGGCGGGACACATTTTTGAATGTGCAGAATCGGTTTTGGAGGCGTCAGTTTTTTAAATCGAAATGACGATTTTTTTTTACTCTGGCTTGATTAATACAAATATTTGCAGGTACTTCATCCACCACTACCTGAGACCAGATGGAGTGTTTCTGATGAGACTGATCGCCATCAACACCAACTGTCTCATCTCCAGTGAGATCATCTCCTCTCTCTGGGAGAACTTCCTGGACCACCCCTTCGTCACAGAGAGGGCAGAGGAGTACCATAACCAGCTCAAGGATCTGGGACTGCTCACTGAAGACGATGACAACAGAGGTCACATCTGGGCTTTTTCTGTTCAAAAAGTTTTTTTTTGTTCATTTATGATAGTTCGTTTCTCCTGAAGATGATGATAACAGAGGGATTTCTTTTTCTACAAATTTTCAAACTTTTTATTCGCTCAATTTATAATGTTTTTTTAACCCGAGTTTGGCTAGTTTTAGAACTTATCACTGGGATTTAATTATAATAGATATATGTTTCAGTGTTGGCGTCTCTGAAGAAAATGGATGCAAAGCAAGTGTCCGTTCACAATTCCATCGGTAAGTTGATCAGCCTCCAATGCGACGAGCAGATTGTTTGATTAAGAAAGAACTGATGGTTTGGGACGCCTTTTTTGCTCATAGGGTGGACTTCTTAAAACGGACATTTAAAAATACCAGTTGCATAAAAATCTGCCTTTTTTAACATCTTCGCGTGTTTTTTGAGAGGTCTTAAGTCACTGTCAAGCAGTTTACGTAAAAATTATCAAAACTGTAACTATATCCATAAAAATGATGTCTCATACCATTAACGATACCTGATATGTATCGATTGTGCCCTCTAACTGTAGGTGGATCTGAACATGAGGACTTGTTGCCCCCTCTGCGCATCAAGGACGACACCAAGTTCTCCATCTTCGAGCCACTCCTCTCTTCCAAAATGAAGAAGAAGGTATATTACTTCGAAATTTAAACGCATTTTTTTTATTTTATAGCCACTTAGAAGCTTAAAAACTCTGTAGGTACTTTACTGCGTTATTTTTGAAACGACCGAAGGAAATACTCACTGGTTGGTGGCAAGATCGCCCGTCTCAATGAAAATGATCATTTGGGCAAAAGCCTTTTGAAATTTGCTGCTAAAAATGGCAATTTTTTCAAACTCCTATTTTCATAAATTTCCTACGCCGTTTTTTTTAAATAATGCATTTTTTTCATTGCTGGTTCAGAAGGGGTAAAGGATACGAAGTACAAAAGAATTTCTTAAAAAAGTAAAAAAAAATAAAGTAAAATTTTTAAATTTCTTAAAAAAGTAGAAAAAAAATCTTTTAGAATGACTGAACATGCTTGATTAAATTAATTTGCGGCTCTTTGCTGTCGATCCCTAGTCACACTCTCCTTCAAAGAGTAACGAATTTGGAAGGAATTAAACACGAGTGTACATTTTGATGGATACACAAAGATGGCATGAAAACTTTAATATGGGTAAAAATTGAAAAATATGAAAAATTTAATATGGGTTGACGTGCAATTAGTTCAGTATGTTCCGACCATAATATTCTGAACAATTCAGTTGTGCAACAAAAACATGAGGAAAACAATAGAACACCTTTTTTAGTTTTTGGTCAATGTTTTAGTTAGAATGAGGGGATTTAACAAAGTAATTAGCTGTAAGAATTAGCTACAACTAGCTTAAGCAATTTTAGATAAATAGTTGAATCCATATCACTGCCATTATGGCTTTAATATGCTATTACAATTGACCATCTCCCAAACTTCCCTCCAAGATACCTGACTTCCACTTCTGATTTGTCTTCCTTCCAAAAAATAAACCCTCCAGAGCAGTAAGCCTGTAATAATTCAAATAATCTGATAATCTGTGGTGTTGAACAGGTAGCGGCGGACGTGGAGCAGCAGATGAACAGTGGGGATGCACCTGCGCAGACTCAGCAGACAGCTGCCAGCAAGAGATTCACCGCCAAGTTCGGAGGCAAGAGAGACGACAGCGCACAAGGTAGATATATATTCAGTAGCGGATTTAGGGGGGACCCCTTTGTACTATTTTGATATATCCATTAGTCCCTGTATCTACTAAAGAGGTCTAAAGCAAAGAGCCATAAAAAGTTTAACAGGAAGTTTCCGGTCATCTCTGTGCAAATATACCGATAAATTGCAATTTTTCTAACATTTTTCTCGTCCCGAGAAAATTTTCTAGAAAGTTTTAATCCTGAAGTTAACAAAAAAATTGTGTGCCTAGCTTAAGTTCTTAAGCGTTGTGAAAATGTAACCCATCTTGTGTTTCCTTAGGCGAACAGGGACAAACTGGTCAAATAATATCTCGAAGAGGCAACAGTTTCTTCCGCCATTTGGACTCGAAGATGGCGAGTGAAGACTACGAGGGAATGAAGCGAAGGGGGGAGGCGAGGGGGAGGGGGAGGAACAAGGGGGATCAGGGGGCACAGTCGGGGTCGGAGCAGCAGGGGAGGTTCTCGGACAGGTTGAAGGCCATTGCAGGGCTGCCCTCGAGTACTTTTGTTTTTATTACTAATCGATAAATTCATCAGAGTATTCGCATTTTTATCCGAGAATTTGAAAAAAAAACTTCTACAGTCTTTGCCTTTTTGTTTTCTCGAATCACAAATACTTTGCAAGGATCTACTTAACAATTGCCCCCTCCCCCTTTTAAAAAAAGGGGGGGCAATTGTTAAGTAGATTAAAATAACGCATTTTTGACCAATCAGAATGCAGCAAAATTCTAATTCTCAATAGAAAGCTCAGTGCTAATTTACTGCTTTTATTAATAGGGGTGGCAGTTCTTAAGTAGATACAGCACTTTTCAATTGCTAAATTATTTTTTTCAACCACAAAAAGTTTGATTGTAACAAGAGGAAAGACACTATTTGAAGCACAATCATTACTTGTTTCAGAGGCTAAATCAGGATTTTCTCGCTCTCTTTCCTGTGACAATGGACATAGTAGCGGGAGCAACGCCGAGATAATCGACAGAACTCGAGACCAACCAATTTACCCCGCCCTGAGCAACGATCCCGCGGATGCATCAGGAGTGTCCAGACGACCAGAGTTTCAACAGACAGGCGCTGGCGACCAAAACCTCAGAGGATTCCCGACGAGACAAAATATTGGGTTTCCCGGGAGCCGAGGCGGTTTCTTTCCGAGGCCAATAATCATGGGACCTTTGCAGAGTCTCGGCGAGTCAACTATAGGCGGATCTGGAGGTCGTCATGGTCCGTCGGCACCTCCGCCGCCTCCGTATTCGACATTCGTGGAGGAAAAATGTCACCAGAAACCAGACAAAGAGGACTGAAATAGAAAAAAAAACGTTTCAAAAAGAAAAAAATACAGTGATATAGGGTTCAACGTCATATTCTCTAGCGAAAAAACAACTCCTGGCATCTTTCTTTTTATAAGAAAAAAAAATCATTCGCTGGCATCAATTTATTTTACCTTATTCCAACGACTCTAAAAGGATTCGATAGTTTTTGCTTTGACTGCAAAACTGAGTAAATAGCAAAATTACAGTTTAAATGCACCAAAGTTTGACAATTGCATGCATATTAGCTTGATAAAAATTATTTATAAAATTTTATATAGCTGTTTCAAGGTTTTCGATTTATTTTTCAATTTGTGAAACAAAGAAAGGAGTTTTCTCAAAATCTAAAACGTTTCTCATTTGCCAATGCGAGACGTCAATTGACAACCACAGTTCCAAAAACAATCTTCTGTTCGAGCAATTTTTTCGAGTGTGTTTCAGCTTTTTGTTCTCCACCCAAAATCAACTTCCACAAATAATCTTCGGAAGGGGTCGACTGATATACCATATGAAACTCCTTGCGTTAAAAATCAGAGTAAGAGCAACAAGGGTTAGAGATTGAAATTGGATCTAAGGTTTGAATAGTTTAAGCAAAAGAAGTAGCGATTGTTGGAGAATGAATTGAGAAAGTAGCACAAGCTAAGCATATCACAAAAGAACTGATGAGTCAATTGAGTAAAGACTAACTCTTTAGTTTGTGATCTCTAGTTGAACTTGCCTGAGTTTCAACAGGCTTGATTAATTGACCTCCAAACAGATTCTGTTCAATAAATTTGTCTGAGTTTGGAATAGTCTGGCCTCTTAATTCGCAGTCCTGACTCGAACTGTAATAAAAATTCATATAGTGCGCACCATCCCCGCGAGGCGTCCTTGGTGTACCGCAGCTTCAAATCGTTGCTACGTTTAGGATATCAAAATTTTCGCAGCGACTCGGTGCGCTCTGCCCGCATTAGCCAGCAAGCGGTAAAATTAAGTCATACTAGCTAGGGTGAAGGACTCTGTTTGCTTCTCTGCTTGCTATGGCTTCCCTAGGCTTCACCTCAAAAGCCATTGCTGTCAGCCACTGCTACTTTTGGGTCCAGACACTTCTACTGAATAGCACCTTGGCTCGTGAGTTCCAATCACCTCAATTGGAAGCATGGGTGTAGGCCAAATCGTATAGACTAATAGTTGACTGACAGCTCCAGTGTTTGCGATGGCTGACTATCAACAATGAAGTCGTCTGGATCGTGCACTCAATTAATGTCATCCACTCTGCTCGCACCACTCGTTTTTTATTTCGAATTATCCACTAAAACGCTCTCAACATCGTAATCAATCAGCTTGCTCTTCCTACCTTTTTTTTTCATTTTCCGTCTAGATAGAACGACCCAATCGAGATAGTACGCCAGGCATCTGAACACACGCAAACAGCACACGTCTAACATTTTTTCATAGAGCACATGCGTCGGTGATATCATTACTGGATGTAGGGAACAATTGTAAGCCTCCACAGCTGCCGACAATGAACGCACCCAAAACAATTTCGGTAACTTTTCATTGGCTAGTAGTCCTCAAGTAATCTCGTTGATCACTCTGCTGTAACGCTCTGCTACTCCATACTGTTGAGGGTTGTTTTTCACTGTGAACTAATGAGTTACCTGGTATTCTTTACTAGATATCCTGGAGGCATCTAAAGAAAAAAATTTCCGTTGTCCTGTCTTAGGCATTTCATTCTCAGCCACAATTCTTGGATCTTCAGTGAAATATCAACATATTTCGCCACATATATCCAATCAGCGAGTCGAAATTAGTCAAACTTAGTTCTTCAAGTATTCCCTGGAGGTCACTGAAGACCCAGTGCCAAACTGTCGATGCTCTGCTGCCAGCCTACTTTAGCACTGCTTTTGCACGCATCTTGGAAGCAGTTCACGCTTCGCAAAAATTTGTCCCAACTACTTTCACAAGTGATGAAGGATCTTGCTTGTTGATGTGCCTCCAGTGATCGGTGACCGAGCATTGCATCACTGGTCTGCCTCTTTGTCTTCACCACCAGAGTCATCGGATTTCTCCAAATGGTGAACTTTAGAAGAAAAAACTTGTCATGCTGCTTCATCTGTACCTGTTCACCATCTGTTGCCAGTACATGAGAAGTATCTGCGACAAAATTGAAAACTCACTATCTAGATATTTCTGAGCTCACATTTTTCAATTTGACACTTTCACTCGGGGCAAACAGCATGTCGTCAAAAAAGTAATTCTCCAAGTAATTCCACGTCGTGGTAGGTGCCTATTTACACTGATCCGTTGCTCTCAACCTTTGACAATTGCCGTTGGAGTTCTTCAGAGTTATCCCTTTGTTCAGGCTCCCAAAGGTAAAAAAAGACAACCCTGTAGCAAATCACATGATCAGTGCATATCGTATCCACAATGAGATCGTCACCATTCCTTAAAATAGTTACACAAGAACCAAAGGACCCTGTCTTTCCCTGTGGGCAGTCTCTTGCGAAAGAACCATGATGCTCATATCTGAAATATTTTTTCTTGCGCCTGCCCCATTGGTTTCATTCGACCCACTAGCTCAAGCACTTTATTGCTCATTGTGTCACTTCTAGCTTGGCAATCCCCCGCCATATGCCTCTTGTGACCGCACATATAGCAGCCACTACTTTAAGCTTCTTACTTCTTCCTTGTTGAAAGCTCTTTTGCACCACAAAATGCTCATTGCTTTCAGGCAGCTCATTGATCACCAGAGCGCAAAACACTGTCTCCGTGATTGCCTCTTCAGCTTCGCCCTACGTCGTCATCGTCTCGTCGCTGCGAATGGATGTATCAGCAGGACCCTCCTCTGATCCGTCGACCTCTCTACACAGTAAAACTTCTCTTGACTTTTAGTCCCATCGCAATAGCCGTTTGTTCGTACGCAATCATTCCTTATGTGCATCAGCGTACTGTTGTTTAGGACCAACGCCAGTTGCGTACAATTTTTTGGTTGTTTTTCTCTGCTGAAGCAACACTGTTCTGGATGTCATAGGCTGCATCTTGGTGTCATAGGCTGGCCTCTGATTACCATTAGACTAATTAATTAGATTATGATTACTAGTTGACATGATTTTGTTCAATCGATTTGTCTGACCGTGGAGTATCCTGACCTTAATGCTCGGCAGTCTTACTTCGATTTCCCATAAAATACAAAATCCAGTATAAAAATCTAGTTTTTTTGTCTAATTTGAGCAATTAAAGCAAGCAAGCAGGCCTTCAAAACGAGAAGAAGACGTCAGAACTTGGTTTACTCCAAAAGTTTTCATTTTTGTAAATTTTCTTAACGTTTTTTTTTAATCTTAGGCGATCGAAAGATTGTTTTGATTTTTTATTTTAATTTTTGTTTTTTGCTTTTTTTAGATAAAAACTGTTGTCAACTGTGCGTATTAAACTCTTGCTACTGTCGAAGGTTTTACTCAGATCTACTCATGGCCACACGAGCAAAAAACATTGCTAAATTGTGTTTGTTTTTCGGTCGGATTCGGCTATCCGTAATGAATTTCGCTTTTTTCATGGAGTTTATTGATTAGTTTGTCGTTTAATTTGAGAACTAAGTTTGGATGGAAACTTCAGCTTTGAGTAATAGATATCAGCAGGAGCTGATCTAAACATTATTCGAGGGGGAATTGTCAAATGTTTTGTCAACTTTTAATTTGAAATTATATTTCAAGCTCTACCAGAACACTCTAAAGACCCCGTTTTGCCCACTTTTTGTACAACACGAGGTTTGTGGGCACTGCTGGGGTTATTTTGGCAAAAATTATTTTTTTTGTCACGCGCACCTCCCACAGAAGTAACATAGTCAAAAGATCAAATTGCACCGCTCGCCCCGCCCATTGCAACCAACCTAATCAACCCCTGGATGTCATGAAAGTATGAAATTTTAACTTTTTGGAACAATTTGGTCATCTGAAACCAGACTTCAAATCTTTAGTTGCACACTTACTTTCAAAAATATAAATTGTATTTTTCGAATTAACTGAAACTCTGATTGATTGGATTGGCCTAGAGTTTTCGACAATATCATTACTTTGAAGCAGAATCAAATTGGTTTGCATGATTTCTATTGTAATATCCAATCAAAAACTTCAGGTATTAAACGTTTTTCAATCACCCTTTCTCTAAGAAATCAAAAAATTTACATGTCACTTTGACTAAAAAAGGATGATTTTTTCAAGTTTGCCAAAACTTTTAGCTAATTTTTTCCAAAATTATTTCCAATATATCCGTTGAAAAAGAAAGTTTTTTTTCGATAAACTTTTATATAAAATAATTAAAACTTATAGAAGTAGAACCCATTCTCAATTAAAAAGAAGTTAAGGTTTGCACATTTGCCAACTTTCCATACATTCTAGTTGAACTTTTCTCGACAACTCATGGCTGAAATTTTCATTGAAATGTCCATTGGACAAATTTGTTGCCTTTTTCAAAGAGTTATTGTCACATTTGTGACTTATTGGTTCTTGTATTTTTTTAAACTACTCAATTGTTGAGGGTTTATTATCCCATCCAAAACTTTTATAAGAAAAAATGTAACCTGAAAGTTTTCAACAACCCTAATCGAGAAGCATTACTTTCAGCCTATCTGAATAATTTCTATGAAAATAAATTTTCAATAAAAAATTTCGAGCAAAAATTGAAAACTGAAAACTTTTGCGTACAATGTACATCCACCTATAAAAATGATGTATATATTCAAAATTTTTCCTAAAAATTCCTGACATTACACTTGTTTAAAAATTGGCAATTCATGTCCTTTGAACAGTTTTTTGTATTTTTCAAAGTATCAATTTTATGTTTGTGACGTTATGTTCTGGTATTTTTGAAGCTCTCAATCTATGCGGGGTTTGCATCACACGGAAAAATCCCCTAATAAAATTAACTCAGTTTTAACCAGAAACTTGTCACAAAAAAACTCGTCTAGTAACGTTCAATTTGAATTTTTAGCACATCAAATTGACTTAAATGAGAATAATTTGTCAACCAAAAGTTTTCATCAAAAGTTGAAAGTGTAGAACTGAATTTTTCTTAAACAATGTACGTACATAGAGAACAACAAATTTTCGTAAGCTTACATGCAAGTATAATTAGTAGCAAAAAGTTCGGACAGACAGAATTAATTAAAATGAGCAATCAGTGCTTTTCGACGCTTTTTTGCATGCAAAATCTGAAGCCGAACAACCTTGAATTTTTTGTCAGACCAAATTCAAAATGCGAGATTGTCGGTTATCCGATGATTATGCGAGCCTAATTTTTAAATACTGCGATGTGCATCCAGATTTTACTATAAAACAGCTCGACGCTTCAGATGCAATTGCCCGCCGTGGTTATAGAATTTGAGCGAAACTCAGATCTACTTAACAATCTCACCCCCCCCCTCCCTTCCCCTATTGTATTTACTAAATAAAATCCACCCCTGTAAATAAAAACAGTAAATTCGCACTAGAGCATTGTATGTAAACTCGAATTTTGCTGCATTCTGATTGGTCGAAAGTTCGCTGCCAATAATCTAATTAACAACCTCCTCCCCTTTCTTGAAAGTGGGGATTGTTAAGTAGATCCCGTAACTCTGCTTTATGAACTTTCGATGCTATGTTTATTTCAGTTTTAGTTTCGGTTGA